TTTGCATGAAGTAAAAGTTAATCACTCAGCAATTTTAAACCTATTTGATAAATTTATACATCACCCTTTTGAAGTATATTTTTAGTGGAAAGATTTTGTTAATTATAATAACTTTCTAACTATCAGGAATTTACATTTATGAATGACAATTTTGAAATAATTTGCAAATATAATTATACTAACCTACCCTTATATTCTTAAACTCAATTTTAAAATTTGAAACTTATCTCTTTCTTAATTCAAATGATCACCTAAAAATATATCTTAAACTTGCAAGTTGTTAAGATTTGCTTGTAAGTCTGGGAAAGATTATTTTATCAATATTAATTCTCGATTATATGTTTATATTTTAAAATTTTCATATTCTATAATATACTTAGCATATTCATATTCTAATTGTAATTTTTCTATAATACATTCTTCAATTTAATGAAACTTACCACATGAGTATCAGACATTCTATTGTTCAACGACAAAATTTATAGGATAGGTATAAGAATTCATTTTCCCTCAAGCCGAATATACGTAGAAGTTTGAATTTCCAAAATTGAATTATCTTTAGACATATATATATCGGATATCCAACGGTTAATCAACAACTTTTTATTAATTTGACCGAATAAATTCAATATCCTAAATGCTTCTAAAACTAGAATTCAATTCATCAGCTTCACTCTGTCATTATTAAAATACATGATACTTAAGTTTGATATTGAGGAAATCAAAGTACGTTCTTACTACTTATCATTTTTCATAAAGAGATATTTGACCACCTCTTCAATTGAAGGAACTCCGCAAATACTTAAAGCATTCAGACTTGTCAACTGAAGTTTGTATCCAGGCTGAGTACGTTAAACATGAAACACTATATTTATATTATCATGCCTCATATTCTAAAAAAACTTCACATCTTCTCAATGCGATATTGATAGATATTATGGCTCCAAGATCTCCCCAAATGCCGCATCCTGCTCAGTCCCGTTTAATAATCGCTTCAGAATTTATCAATACAGTCATACTAGTTCATAAATATATTTCCGACTTATTCCCATGCCAGTTCCTTCCTTATATTCTGTCAATCACAATGACAATACCAAACTTAAATTATGGATGTACAGATGTAATATTACATATTTTTAAAATAAAAGTAAAATGTAAATAAATTTTTAGAAGTTGCCTTCCTATCCAGTGCAGAATACTTGGTGCCTGAAACACAGGTAAAAAGTGTTAGAAAAAAATGAAGAAAAAATATGGTTAAATAAAATAAAATATATGCATTGGAAAATATACATGAATATTAAGCAGTCACTAATAACTTAACCTGCTGAATGCTGTCTTTATTTTTTAAAACTACTTTCGTCCTCTAGAAGGAAATTTGGGGTTGGTACTATCCATTTGAGGAATCCAAGTAATCGGCCATTATCCCGTCGAAATGCATATACTAAAGAATAATCGAAATCGATATTCAAAACTTTTATTAAGGCTTTACTCAACACTGTATTGAAAATTTAGCAATATAAATATCCAAGTCTCTACGATTTATTATTAAGATATGCGTACGTATAAAAAAGATTTAAAAACTTGAAGTGCTGAAATTGTGTTATAGTAAATCGTTATTAGGTTGTTTTAGAAAATTAAAATTTATGTATATCGCATAAATTATTATCAAATATCCCAAATGAGATGAATATAGAGCTTTTTGCTCATTAGCTCTAGATACCAATCAACGCTTTAAACCTCAGACTACCTATCAGATTATAATGGGGATTTTAGATTAAATGAGAGCGATCTGGAAGACACTAATATTTGTTAGAGAAATGGTATGTTGATGAAACAAATAATTCATTTACTAAACAGCGTTATAAATAAATTTAGACCTAGGAAGCCTTATCAAAGTAACATGTTTGTTTTTGAGTTAACTACCTCCACTACAAGTTGAATAAAATTGTGCTGAGAAAGTCTTAACGAGATCAGAAGGCTAAAACTTTGTTATAAAAATATAAACAATACATTCATATATATAAAGATCTCACACATTTTTTTAGCATACCTTAAATTCAAACTATATTTACATTCTCCTTTTATGAGCAATGCCAAAGATAGGTTGAATAAAATAACTCACCTGATGATGTTAATTAATGGTTAAAAAAGACTATTGTAATTGTTTGATGCCTGGTAGAATTTTGGCTGTTTGGAGGTTTGAGGCCCTCCACAAGGAATTCAACATATTGGACAAAATGTCAGGTTGAAGAATTTCCTTGGAAAGGAAGAGGAGAGGGACGCGCCTAGAGAAATATACATTTATATAAATATCGAATTATGATTAATTAATCATCTCTTATATTCTATTAAGACATTTTATTCATAATAAATTTGCAGAAGAGAGAGTTAAATATACTTCACAATATTAGTAAAGATATATTACAAATATAAAATGTAGAATATTTTATAAGCTATTTGGGTTAAATATAATCGATAACAAGGCATATCCTGGATTCAATAGGAGAGTTTATTCAGAAGAAAATTTAAAAAAAAGATTTCGAGAGGCTGAATATCTCTCTTTTTTAACCTAGAAGAACAAACCAACAATTCACTCTCATCAGTGAAAACGCGTATCCAATTCGTAAAAAAATAAGAGAGACGTAGGATATATTGCCCCTATTTTATTCTTAATGAGTATTTTTATATTGAATATCAAATTCACCTTAGTGTGGACTATAAACATAAGTGATTGAAATTCTGTAGGAGGGGAAAGGTATGAGAAAGGATTCCTCAAAATAGGCGCAAAACCACTCCAACCTGATCAACTATGTAAAGTGACCGGCTCGGGTCACTTCGTCTGTTTTTTATTTTGACAATATTTAATGTGAAAAAATAATAGAAAAATTGAAAATAAAAGGTCAGGTCTTGATATTAAATATATAAAAAAGGCATATCCTGACAAGGAGCACATGTGGATTTTATATGACAAGAAATTGGGTCGGCTAAATATCAGGGAACAGGCTAAATTAAAGTTTAGTTGATTTCTGTACCATTAGATGGCGCTCTGCCATCTAAAAAGCACATGGTCAGGATATGTCTTTTTTTATTTTTAATATTGAATATTTGTCACTTTATTTGTACCTTTTGAAATCGATTTTCATTTTATAGCATCATTCATAAATTATTCTGATATTGGCTTTTTAAGAGAATGTATTTAACTTGCTTCCATGTCTCTCTGTCTGTCCACAAATCTTGTAATCATATTTTAACATACTTCAAGAGCACATAGGATTCTAAAATTTGTAAAATTATTAGAAGGGGTTGTCAGGGTGGCTGGTTATGGACAAATTTCCAAATTGCCTTTCAAATTTTATTTTAAAATACTTCTCGACCACATAGAATTATGAAATTCTGAATTAACCCTCAGTCCTATTAACAATGTGTGTGAATATATTTTTAGGAATATAGTTTGTTAGAGTGGCCGGGAATAAACCATTTTTTATATTTCTTTTGAAATCTTATATGTATTGTATGAAGTCAAGTCTGAAACTGTTTGGAGTTATGAATTTATCTTTTCAGAAAATTTCAAGACCTCATTCGAGTCAGAGAATTCCGAATATTCAATCCAAATCTTAATTATTCTTAGAATTATAAGAAAAAAGATGCCAATTGTCAAAATTATATTAATATATCTGTTATAATGCACTAATCTGATCCCAATATCATCATATATATATATATATATATATATATATATATATATTATATTCATTTTATTTATATATATATGATAATATAACATCCTACATTACAAGACACCGTTTTAAATAGTGTCCCTTTCTCAATCTTTTGTTACTTCTGAATATACGAATAATCAATTTAATAAACATAATATATAAACTATATGTGTACCAATATTTTCTAACCATACTTCATTTTATGTCTGTGAATCTCAATATAATTCAATAAATTTAGGTTTCTTCAAATAAAAGCAGAGATGCACACTGAATGGTGGTGGTTTTAGTTTACGTTACTTTCCACCTCGTACGAGGAATTGTCCAATCTGCAGCGATAAGACTTGTGAATATTTAAGGCCTAAGTCCCCAGTAAAACTGGCTTTTTTGAAAAGGTTTTATTTGAATTGCTTCCGTGTTTGTCTGTCAGAAAATCTTGTAATCAATTTTAGTATACCTCCAAAGAAGATGAAGCCTGATATTTGTACACTTATCAACCTGAACATTGTTCAACTTTATAAGCAGATCTCATGATTATTCTTTCCAGATATTCTCACATGAAAACTTGAAAATTGTTGTCAGCCTATCAATTTTCTCTTTATACCATATACAGTCTTCGGCCCTTCAAAACCCAGCTTATGTAGAATCATCTTGCAATTATACCGCGAATGTTTCTTTTAAACAAATATCGAAATTTATTTTAAAGAGAAATAACGACTATTTCTAACTTTAAGGATGAAGTATGAAAGGGTGAAAATATGAAGAGCAATGGCGAACGGAAAAATAAATAAAAGTGTCCAGGGGCGGGAATCGAACCACGATCTTCCGCTTACCGTGCAGATGCCATGTCCACTAGGCTACCCTGGACATATTTTTCCGTTCGTAAATATTATATAAAGTAATTTAGAATACAATATAACGCGGCTGATGATTGTAAAACGAAAATTACAATTATACCGCGAATGTTTCTTTTAAACAAAAATCGAAATTTATTTTAAAGAGAAATAACGACTATTTCTAACTTTAATCTTTAATGGGTTTAATGGGTTCGATTCCCGCCCCTGGACACTTTTATTTTTCCGTTCGCCATTGCTCTTCATATTTTCACCCTTTCATACTTCATCCTTAAAGTTAGAAATAGTCGTTATTTCTCTTTAAAATAAATTTCGATTTTTGTTTAAAAGAAACATTCGCGGTATAATTGCAATTTTCGTTTTACAATCATCAGCCGCGTTATATTGTATTCTAAATTACTTTATATAATATTTACGAACGGAAAAATATGTCCAGGATAGCCTAGTGGACATGGCATCTGCCCGGTAAGCGGAAGGTCGTGGGTTCGATTCCCGCCCCTGGACACTTTTATTTTTCCGTTCGCCATTGCTCTTCATATTTTCACCCTTTCATACTTCATCCTTAAAGTTAGAAATAGTCGTTATTTCTCTTTAAAATAAATTTCGATTTTTGTTTAAAAGAAACATTCGCGGTATAATTGCAATTTTCGTTTTACAATCATCAGCCGCGTTATATTGTAGAATCATCTGTAACCTTCATTTTACACCTAATTTACAATTCCGCTGTTTCAATTGTAACGGCGTATTCCTGCACATTCTTACTTCACAATGAAGCATTGCATGCAATAAAAGAACTCGTTTGACACAGTATTTACGGATAGACCTATACATTACGTATTCCTCAGCCATAAATCTGGAAAAATGTATAGCCAAATATTCAGATCTCCAGTTTACCAAGAATCCAATATGAGGGCACTCAACAACAATGGTAATTGGCCATGGCTACGCACAAGCATGCTACGTGAAAATATCGAATTCAATATTCTCCAGTGTTAGAATGAAGAACAAACAGTAGATCATCTCCTCTTTATCTGTTCAGCTTGTGAATACCAAAGATTTTAGATAGCCACTCTCATAGGAATTTCAAACTTCAACCAGGTATATAAATTGCTGGTAATATATTTCCCAGAAAAAAATACCTCTGTGTGTTTAACACTTTTTGATACTTTGGACTTGTGAAAGAACCATAGAGGCTTAAGTCTGACTGGCATCCCGTATAGAGAGTTAGGAGCATTTTTTGACTGCTTCAAGAACCTTGGGTACTTGGTTATATATATAAATATACTCTAATATCACAGTATGGAAAGTTTATATTTCTAATAATACTGGTTTAATATTGATAATCACATTCAAATATTTGATTATATTCCGTATATATATTGTAAATATATATGTTTTTATTTTAATTCATGCAACCTTTGGCTCAGATATATTTGTAAAAATTTAGAATATATATATTTAAAACCTAGGTTCCTGTAGTGCAGAACGCCATATACCCGATTTACGAAAAATTGATTAATAATTTATTATTAAAATATCTTTTCAAAAAGCTTTTATGCACTAAAAATTGAAAAAAATAAATATTTTGTGGTACCTGCAATTAACTATACTACGTATTTATATGAGTAAAAAGGAATGAGGCGTGGAACATTCATTTATTGAGAGAAGATATTAAATATTTAGTAAACTTAAAACCTGCTAATCTGTTGCTTCATAATTAGTCAAATTAAGTTTGATGATTATCTCTGGCCGCTTTTATTTTATTTTCATATAAATCTTATTGTTGTATGGCAGTTGCAACAAAATATTTATTTTTCAATTTGTGCATTTTAATAGAAACTTTATAAAAAGGTATTTTTATTTATTAATTATTTATTATTCAATTCATAAGGATCGTTTTAATAGTTGTTCTACAAAAAATATAAAAATAAATAGTTGAAGATCTGAAAATTTTTCCATTTAGAAATAACGGCCTTTTTTCTGATAATATATATACTTGTAAATCTCTCATCACATGTGCTATGGGACATAGAGGTGTAACCTTCCTAGGTAGTCCCAGCTAATGTTAAAGGCCATGGCCAAATAGATTCTTGCCACTCTAGTTATATATTTATGTTTCATAGTTAAATACTAAAGATAATTATAATGTAGTGGAGATATTTGCCTCTTAGTCCTCCTCGTCACTGCTATCTTGTGAAGGCTCCATAAGTTTTGACAGAGTCAGAGCCATTCTGAACACAAATTGTTGTGAGATTCTACAGATCAGAGTAATGTAATCCACTTACTCCAGTTGTGCGTCTTCCTCCTCTTTGTTCTTTGGCGCGTCGTCCGCCATTTTCCTGAACACCATCACCATGTCAGTATTTCTGTGAAGAAGATACAAAGTATGGTAACTTACTCGGCCTTTCCACCAAGGAGACTGTGTGAACACATTCCATGGTTAGAACAACAGGACAACATGTTATATATCATGGATGGCGTATAGCACAGATGGAATTATTTCTAGGTTAATTATTGTACATATGAATATATTGTACTACGAAACCTGTAGTGTATATTGGTTAAAATGGTTGTATGTGGACTGAGATGAACGTAGGATTCCATATTGATATTTGTAGAACAAATTAACAAATTACTGAGGTAAAATGGCGTATATATAACTAAAGAACATATTCCATGTTGAAAATTTTATAACGGAATAAAATATATCAAAGGTGAAATTGCGAGTGAGAGTGAAACCTGCGTGTGTTTCAGATGGACATATTTAAAGATTAAAGTGGTTGGAAATAAGAGAAAAAGTTCAAGTTTGTAAACTGTAACCTTTTATCAGTGATAAAAAGGTTGAGCTGTAGAATATATCTAATGTCGAAACCTAGGACAGATGGATATATTTTAGGTTAAAATTAAGAAAAGAGAAAAAATTCCAGATTGACAAATATAAAACAGGATATATTTCAGGATTGAAATGTTGAGACTGTAGAAAATATTCCTAATTGAGATGGACATTTTTACGGATAAACATGTTGAGATAAAGGAACTGGTAAATTAACTTACTTGGAACATGTGCTCCCGCACGCCCGCTTGCAGTGGGAGCAGCTGTAAAAATATTTATTAATTAAGTTGTGTAATTTATGTGTTTTGAGATGTGTGTATGTAGTGTTTTATATTGACTCCTTTAACCTTATGATTGTCAATTGAATCCAAGGTTATTATATTAATTATATGCTAATATATTCACAATTATATATTATACATATAAGTTTATTATTTGAGTATTTATATGAATAAAAATATATCGTTTTAGAAAATATAGTTAGTTTCTAAATATATATTTTCATTCATTGAATTGTAAATTGCTTTCTTAGAACAAACCTTTTGCTGATTTTATTAACGTGCAGTATGTAATGCTATACTTAATGAATTTGTAATAATCTTCACATACATACACAAAAATAATGTATGTAGCCATACTCATCTAATTCAGCTATATATGAAACGCTGTTTACATCTATGCAATACTTACGGCAACAGATAATAGGGGGAGTAGCTAATCATCCAAGAAGGGGTGGGTTGGTTTTCTGGTGCCCAGTATATTTCTCCGTCGTAAGTCCTGTAATACCAATAGAGGTTCAGTTTTTATTATGGCATATATTATATAATGAATAATTTGGTAGTCTTTAGTTTTACTACTAGACACAAGAGTAAGCGCTGTAGTATCAATTAGATATTGACACATTTGGTAGTGACATATATTATGCGGTGAATACCCTGATAGCTCATTGTGAACAACTAACCACGGGAAAGGTACTGTGATATCAATTATATTTAGCAATTTTATAGTTACATATATTATACAGTGAATATCCTGATAGTTTTCGTTCTACTTCGAGTCCCAGGGAAGGAACTGAAAAAAAAATCAAATTTTGCATTTTTGTTAGACATACGTTATGTGAATGTGAATAATTTGATAGTTCTTCGTTGACTACCATCCAAGAGGATAGGTTCAGATGAATGGATCAGATTTTGTATTTTTTTGATGACATGCTATATATAAAGTATGACTTGATATTTATTGGTTTTACTACAGGCCACCAGGATAGGTTCTATAATATCAATTAGATGTAGATTTTTCAACGTGAGACATACATCATCCAGTGGATAATTTATTAGCTCATGGTTCTACTGACTGCCACTAGGGTAGGTTTGGTAATTATGGTTAATTTTGCCTTTTTTGTGGTGGCATACATTGAACGGTAGATACCTTGATAGCTCTTGGTTTCCTACTGCCGGCTAGAGGATATATTCTTGAATATCAATTATTTGTTATTTTTTGAGGTGAATAACTTGATAAATAATTTACTGAATCATCCAAACAAGCATCAGAGTAGGAGCTGGAATATCAAAATGATGTTTATATTTTTGAAGGGAGACATACGGTATACAATAAAAACCTTTGTAGTTTTGGTTCTAATGGAAGTGCCAGAAAGGTAGGTTCTGTGTATATTATTTAAAATATTTGTGGTTATATATATAAATATAATATATGAATAGAGTAATTCAAATTTTGACAAAAATATAATGGGATGCATATATATAAAGTATTCATTTTTTAACATAGGTTCTGAAAAGAATTCAATATTTATAGGTTCTACTACGAGACAACGTGGTCTAGGTAGAAGGCAATCATTTAACTAACAGGTTGACGTTTCGTGGAGATGTGGGCAATTCGGATGAAAATTAGTTATTTTTAAATTTTGATAATTAAATCTCGAATACCTAGAAGATTCTAATATGATTATAGGAAACACAATAGTATACAATCGAAAATATTATAATTCATATATTTCACGAGTAAGGTCATAATCAACTAGTTTATCTGAAAAAATTATCAATAAATGGAGGTTAAAATGATTGAAAGAAAGCTATATTTGTGATTAATAAACAGAGTATTGAGTGGCATAATTCTTGCATTCCTTGCGGAAGGATATTACGCCAAAGGTTTCAAGCTTCCATTTAAAACAATAAGGTCAGCATCATAGAGGATCATCATGTTGTCTTTCTGAGTCGCTGATAGCGCAAATCTTGGTCACCAAGATTGACAATTTCTGCTCTGTTATTGTCCTGACTCCCCATGCCCCCCCCCCCCCTCTCTCTCTTCTGTATGATTACAAACTCAAAAGGAGCTTCTTCTATAGAACATTTTATTTCGCTAGCTTTTGAACGACATCGTTCATCAACAGGCTTTGTCTTTACCCCCGTTGAAGAACGATTTCGTTCAAAAGTTAGCGAAATAAACATGTTCTATAGAATAAGCTCTTTTTGAGTTTATAATCTTATAATATAGTTATGGTAACTGAAAGTTGATGCCTACACTCTCTTTTTATGTATAACATCAATTATAATCAACATTGTTTTTTCATTTATTATTTATTTATCTTATTATATTTATATAATAATTATATAATTTCATTGTACAATTTATTTGCATACCTATTTAATGTATAA